TGAAGGGAGTCTGTGCTAAATTAATAGCAAACATTCATCTGGTCAAACCGTATCATTTCTTCAATCAGGTACAAGGAGAAGTCCAAGGGGCAGGAGCAGGTAGTGCTAGAGATGGGCATTAGCCTACCTCGCCCCCCACAAACATCAGCAGCGAGGGGGGCAACAGTAGGCAAGAATGTTAGTGATAGGCTGTGATGTGGGCACTGGTCAGTCCACACTCGACGGATCCTGGACGGTGGTGCTGAACTCCACACAAATCGACTGGTGGTTCAACAAAATGGTTTTTAATGCTGCCAACCCCATGAGCAATGAACGAAAAAAGTGTTCGATTTGAAAAATCTGTGACTACAAAAACAAATTATGAAATCTACTTTGGAAAATATTTCCTAAACAAAAGCCAAACAATTCCAGGGACAATTTCTTATGCTCTACTTTTATAAGTTTTTTTATAAGGATTACCAAAAGGTAAGGACATCCAAGGAAACTCTTTTTTCATGAAGGACTTGATGAATTTATAATTTCCAAAAGCTGCAGGATAAAAAGATCGTCCAGTTGCGATATTAAGATTTCTTCCAAAATTTTTCAGGACGGTGACAGACAAAAATAATTAGCAGGACAAATTCTCATGTTTTCAGGCACTCAGCTTTATTTCGAAGAGTGTGGTGACTGTCACATTATAGTGATGGAATAAACAAGACAAGCCTATGGGCCTCATTCACAAGGGAAGCATTTCAAAAAATCTTAAATGAAAACTGTTAATTCAGAATATAAACCAATAATTGTGAGGGGTCAGCTTACTTCATTGTTGCATGCACTCAGTGCCTCCCTTTCAAAGTTTATTTGAAAAGCTAGCTATAATAGTTAATATGGATGACAATTTTAAAATAAATTCTGTCAAGCTAAAATAACTTATTAACTTACTGGCCAAACAATTCATTGATTGCGTTCATATCTACTCTCAAAATGAGATACCCATTCCTGGGGTATGTTCTATGGCAAATTTTGAATGGATAAAATCTGGATATGCCATTTAATTCAAACTTTCAAAGCAAGATTTTTTTGAAATAATTTTAATTGGGATGAAGCAGTCAATGAATTAACATGCATTAAGAAACTGACATCTGAATGAAAAATGCTGGAAATTTCAAGTGGAACAGGAAAAGAGAGCATTTCGCTTTGGCTGACCTTAACATCAGTGCCATTTTTCATGAAATTGCAGTTTCTCAGAAGCACAGAAAAGGGGTAATGAATCCAGTAAGACAAACTGCTTGGGAATGGTAGCCTATGAAACCGCTCCACATGCCACGGTGGTTCTTGAAATCACTATCATGGTTGACTTCACACGACTCCCTGTTCAAGCTGAATAAAGAGGGAAAAAAACAATAAGAGGCAAAGATGAACACCAACAGAAATCTTTTTTTGGGTGGTTATGGCAAAACTGAAAACTCAACATTAGATGCCAGCAATCAAAACTTTTCCTTTAAAAGCACCGAGTTCCATTTGTTTTTGGTTATTAGTTTCTGCATTTGCACTCGAGTCTTTTACTACCTCCTTTCTGGGAGAATAATCACCTCTATTATCAGATATCTGAAAACTCAAAACAGTAGTGTACTCATATGAACTTTAGTAACCCATGATTGTCAAGTGCTTTCAATTCTTTCATTTAAGTGTGAATTGTTTTTTTCGGAAATAAAACCATGGTCTTTGGAAAATGTGAATAAATGGTGACAGTTCCCTTTCTTTGGTGAACCAGTTAAATTTGGGTACAAAATAATGAACCTTTTCGGGAATCTTCTAATTTGGTAGCTATGCTAGTTTACTTCCAAAAATTACATAGTTTGATAATGATGTGAATTCAATCGATTCAGAGAACACTGCTAAACAAAATACATGTACTACATGTAGTTTGAAAGAAATGATTTCAAGAATCCCCATTTCTTATTGGACGTTTTGCTATATTTTCCTTGGTTTTTTTTATACAGTCGTGCAGTAAACAAAGTTATATGTCAAGTCTTACGAGAGTTGACTATTTCTCAAAAACATGTCTACTGACTGTCTGCCGTTTTAAAAAATAAAGTGCACTCCTTACCTCTGCAGCAATGGTTTTCCCTCTGCTTTTGTCTAAGGGCTTGGGACCTTCAAATCCAAGGCAAAATGATACAAACAGAGTATTCTTTCAGATCTGACCGTGAGCAAAGACTGTTTGGGGTTAAAAATCAGTGCCAAACCTGTGCTCACCCAGCACTTTAGTAAGATCACGATTTTTCCATTCATACACTATTTTAATCATTGCACTTGGATTTGGCAGCATTAAAAACCATGTCTCCACATGTCAAAGTTGATGGATAATTTCTGCCTCGTCATCAAGGACCCAACAATGGATGCTGCCTCCAGCCTTTAACTGCCAACAGTCCGGGAATTGGGGGATTACTTTCCTAAGACCTTCTTACTTTCGTCGCAGAGGTACCCAACCCTGATGACCTCTCTACATGTAATTCACCTGAAAAAAAAAACAGGTAGTATCTCAGCATGAAAATTCCATTAAAACACACAAGAGCTCATCATATGGTCTGGCTGCTCTTGCTCTCAGAGTAAGTTTAAAGTTTGACTTGTTTTTAACCATCTTTCATTTACTCCACTTTGCACATAAATGACTAAGTAACAAAGATTGCCCATTTATTCTTCCTTAAAACAATGTCCAGCAATTCGAACAGTTGAACAAAATATTAACTTGTGTTCAGATATTGTAAAATATTAAATCTGAGTCCAAACCCCTTACCTATGAACGCATACAATTAATTTACAAAAACAATCTATATGGAACAAAAAAGAGTTGAGCAAAACATCTGGTCATGTTGATATATTGTACAATAAAGAAAAGACAGGAAAGGAAGGAAAACAAATCAAAAACTAGGAAAAAATGTTAAGCCAAATCTCACACAAAGTAACAAAATACTAACATGTCATTACATTTTATTCACAAAGCGGAACGTTTTCAACCAGAACATGAACTCCAAGGCCCAGAAGAATAAAAACAATGAATTTGCAGCCATTCCTTCAATGTCAGCATGGTCTGCGAATGAAGGACCAAATTCCAAACGGGCCAAAAAAAATCAAATCAGGTCAAAAATAAAAAAAGTCACATCTTCCACGATGTAACAAAATATTTAACTTTATAAACAAAACAGACATTTTTATCCAAAACATAAACTCAAAGGCTCACAAGAATTTTTTTAAAAAATCAATTTGCATCCATTCTTTCAACTTCAGCATGATCGTCTGTGATAGCTCTACTGTGTGGAGCGTTAGTATTCCTGCTTTTCGAATTCTGGACTGGATCATGACCGATCCTGTCCAAAATTCGAAAAAGAGGAATACCAAATAGGCCTACTTGAGTACTAACTCTCCACTCAGTGGCTCAAATTTCGAAAGGGTTAAAAAATTAATTTCCAAGGGGCAATTGGGCTACAAACTCACATGAAAAAATCGTTCCCTTCTTTGTGAATATCTCCAACGTCTGTAGGCGATCCCCGGCCCTAAGGCCTTTTTCGGGCAGAAATTATATGAACTCCCATTATCCAGGCAAACATAAATAAACTGTGTTAACTTCGCATCCATTCGTTCAACCACGGAGGTAGAAACAGATTGTTCAGCGTAAAAGTACATATGACGTAGGGTGGGCCAAGTTCCGGAGAGTGAATCATCGAAAGCCAAAAACACCCATTCCCCTGGGTCACACAATCTGAAAAAAAGTTTACAAACCTTTAGTCTCAAAAGCCACCGCGTCTCTGCGAAAATCACCGGCCATACAGCCCCAGTTTTTCCTCGCGGAAAAATCGGGCGACAACGCTTGGACGGTGGGTCACCACTTTCACGCACTGAACGAAGGGACTACACTGCCCAAGCATATCCACGTCACGTACTCATTCGCTCGCACACGTACACACAGTAGCCGGAGCCGGAGGAGCAAAACCGGCCCGAGGTTATGGAGCGCCGGTCGTACAAATAAGCATGTGCAAAAAGCGGGGGTTCCAATGGTTCCAATTTTGGGAATGGCGGTTTGTGATTGGTCGAAACGTTCCAATTCTGACTGGAAGTTCGGGGATAGAGAATGTCAGCCAATCTTCTCTGTAGCGCAAAAACGCAAGCAGCTAGACGGGTAAAACGGGGCGGGGGCCCAACAAATCGATTCCTAAGTACTCAGTAGCCCTAAGGGAAAAAATAACGATAAAATTCAAAGGCAAATCTCAAACGAAGAAACAAAACATTTCATTTTATTAACGAAACAGACATTTCATCCAGAACATGAAATCTAATTTAAGGCCCAAAAGAATTTTAAAAAATCAATTTGCATCCATTCCTTCAACTTCAGCATGAGGGTGGGTCTGTGATAGCTCTGCTGTGTGGAGCGTTAGTATTCCTGTTTTTCAAATTTTGGACTGGATCATGACCGATCCTGTCCAAAATTCGAAATAGAGGAATACTAACGCTCCACTCAGTCAGTGGCCTAAATTTCGAAAGGGCCATAAAATTTTAATTCACTCCCAAGGGGACAATCGGGCTACAAACTCCCATAAAAAATCGTACCCTTCTCTTTGAATATCTCCAACATCTGTAGGCGATCCCCCGCCCGTAAGGTACCCTTTTTCGGGCAGAAATTACACGATCTCCCAGGGCAAACCATGGAGGAATAAGAGCATATTCACTTCGCATCAAGTCTTTCAACGAACATGTCCTGACACGAAGGGTGGACCAAATTCCAAAGAGTACAATCTTTGAAAGACAAAAACACCCGTTCCCCTGGGTCATTTGGGCCACACAATCTGGTAAAAAAAGTTTACTAACCTTCAGTCTCAAGAGCCACCACGTCTCTGCCAAAAACACCGGCCAAATATCACTGATTTTCTCGCAGAAAAATCGGGCGACAACGCGCAAAGCGCCGCCATTTTTACAGACTGAACGACGGGATCGGGACTGCACTTCCGAAGCACAGCCACGTCCGTCCGCGTACGTACGTACTCATTCGCTCACACAGTTGCCGGAGGTGCGAAACCGACCCCGGAGGTTATGGAGCGCCAGCCGCACAAATAAGCATGTGCAAAAAGCGGGGGTTCCAATTGTTCCAATTTTGGGCCATGGCCCAGACAGGGATGTCAGCCACTTGGAAAAACAGGGGATGTCAGCCAATCTTCTCCAGTGGCGGAATGTCGGCCAATCTTCTCTGTAGCGCAAAAACGCAAGAAGACGGGGAAAACAGGGCAGGGGCCAAACAAATAGATTCCTAAGTACTATGTAAGCCCTAGGGGCTGGGGAAAAATAAGGAAAAATTCTCAATCAATTACTAGCGAAACGGACCGTTTTAAACCAGAAAATGAACTCTAAGGCGCAAAAGAATAAAAAAAATCAATTTCCATCTATTCCTTCAACGTTAGCCATGGTCTGCAAACGTAGGCCCAAAATCTGAAAGGGCAAAAAAATCGGTTAAAAGTACTAAATACGCCATAAGGGAGAAAAATAACGAAAAAATTCAAAGGCAAATCTCAAACGAAGAAACAAGATATTTCAATTTATTAACGAAACAGACGTTTTCAGCCAGAACATGAACTCTAACTTAAGGCCCAAAAGAATTTTAAAAAATCAATTTGCATCAGTTCCTTCAACTTCAGCATAATCGTCTGTGATAACTCTGCTGTGTGGAGCGTTAGTATTCCTGTTTTTCGAATTTTGGACTGGATCATGACCGATCCTGTCCAAAATTCGAAAAAGAGTAATACTGACGCTCCACTCAGGTCTGTGAACCTTGCCATGGTATACCCCGAGAACTGTGGAGTCCGACGAGCGGACGTTGGACCCCACATTTCTGGGGGTAGTCATGGCAATGAACCAAATTTTGAAAGGGCCAAAAAAAAAATGAATTCCCAAGGGTCAATCGGGCTACAAACTCACATAAAAAATCCTACCCTTCTCCGTGAATATCTCTCTCGCTTCGTATGCAAATGTCGCGTAGCCATGGCCTTGTATGCAAATGTCTCACGTACATGATTTCGTTAACCTCTGCAGGTAGGTTAACTTGGTGGGTACAGTCCACTAATCAAGCAATAATTTCCGCCAAGCTCATAAGCATTAAAAGTGCCTCCCCACAGTATCTGTTTAAAAAGGGAATTGTTTGGCCCCAAAATGGTGAGATTGAGTGAATCTTTGCCAGGATCAAGTCCCTGGCCCATTAACTGAGGGCAAAAGTAAGGGGTGCCATTTGTAACTTCGGAACTTCGACTTTTTGGGGGGTTGGTTTTGTTTTGGGCGAATAATTAAAAATGTAATTGGTTTTCCCCCGAAAATTGAAAAGAAACGGAAAGATTAATTACCAAATAATAATTAAATGTTTGTCTGAACAATGGTGATTTTACACTGTTTTCAATGAGGCCTGAATTAGTGGACTGTACCCCGATACATGCAGTGTATGTAGCGGACACGATAGAGCGTATCACAGACAAACGCACAGACCGTCAGCTCCTATTCAAAACTACAATGATCTGCGCGGCGCCCAACTAAAATCAAAACTATGGGCAAATTCACCCCTCGGGTATAGGGAATTTACGCACGGTTGAAGAATTCCAGTCATAAATTCTATGAAGCCATTTTTCGATTGTAAAAAAAAACATATCTACTTAATCTGGCCTCTAGGGATTCAAAACAATCCAGTTGCAACATCTTGAAAGAGAGTTAGCAGAACAAAAGAGCAAAGGTGAACGCATTTTGGGAGCACATGTAAGTTAAAAACAAGTACAAGCTTTCCCAAGCCGCGCTGAGTTCACTTTAAGTGTACGTGTGTGTTTAATTAAGTCGGTTGGCAGATGCCAGTCCCACCTCTCCTACTTAGGTTTCAAGTGGGGGAAGGGCAGAGGGTTTTGTTTTTGAATGATTGTCCCAATATTGTCACCCATAGAAGAATCGACCCTCTCCTCCACAGGAAGGTGCAAGTATTGTTTCTTGGCGCTTTCCATTCTTTTAAAAAGGTAATAAAAGGTCAGGGCCCCACCCATCATATACGTTACTGCAACTGCTATTCTTGTACATGCAGATACTTACGTTTTTAAACTGTATAGAAATTGACACGCTGTAAGGGGGACTAAGTTTTCTCTCCCGCTGGATCAACGCAGATATTGAAAAATTATTTAAATAAAATGAAAAAGAGAGACGTACAGAGTCGTTATCCAGGTGTCACCAACTCTGAAAATCCTCCTAGTCCTTCGTTTTGTACAAAATAGTCTGTTGAGGATGACTTTGCCCTCTAAACGAAAACTGTGGACCATCCCCTAGAGGGCGGCCTGCCTTTCAACAAACATTCGTTGGATTAAGTCTAGTGCCTAGACGTGTTTGTAAAAATTATACTACCACTATCCGTCAATGGAGATCAATGGATACAGTCTAGTATCATACTACTTAACGCATAGCGCGAACGAAGCGACAGAGAAACGTGGGGATGAAAGGTGTTAAATCTGACCATTTGTTTTACAGTTTTGTGCTTTTCTGAATCGATTATCAGGAAAATTTGGATATCGTTTTTGTCCTGAAAGCACTACATAATGCCCAAATTAACAGCAGACTTGATTGAACAGAGTTCACAGTACACAAATGCACTGCGAGAAAGAGAGCTGGATTTACGTGGTGAGTCTATTATATTAGTATATTACTGAGTTACATGTAAGTAATTTAGGCGCTTGTAGTGCGTGTATTGTCGACACCTAGCTTTTGCAGTCAGCATGATCAGGGCTCGCACTTTTAGGGCGTTCATAACCATTAGCACCCTGTTCCTGTAATAAGGATACAAAGTCTACCTTTTCAAAACAACTTACCTAAATAAGTTGGCGGTATTGTCCTCTTTCGTATCAGAAAGAAAAGAGGGACACTGAGGGAAGACCTTTGGATTTTGAGGGATTATGGCAGTAGGGGCGCATTTTTTGTTTTGTCTGTTTTGTTTTCGCTACTTATATGTGCGGCCTGCGTCCGACGTCCCTGGGTCGCGCTGTGGCTCGCACTCACAGGCATCCAGACCAGCAAAACATCCGTGCTGTCAGTGTATGTATGTAGTCGCTTGACTTAATTCGAAATTTGAGGCTTATAGCACTGACTGCCCGATTGTTTAAGGGAGCGGGAATAAGACTATAGTTTGACTGCACATGCACATACCAAACACAGTCAAATCGTCAAAAAAGATTCAGAACTTCGGGTACCATCGGGTCGAACACTGTCAAAAAGATCAGATGCTTATAAATTCGGATGCTTTCAGAATTCGAATGATTTTTCAATTCGGATGCTTTCGGAATTCGGATGCTTTTTATAGTTGGATGCTTTCGAAATTTGGATGCTTTCTGAATTTAGATGAAATGTGGGTGCGGAACTCGAAACCGTCGGCTGTTTACTGTCGAGGAAAATGCATTCGAATCTGAAAAACGTTAGGTCTGTCAAATTTCATTTAGATTTCGAAAACATGTTAGGTCTGAAAAATTTCATTCAAATCTTCAGAACATGTTAGGTCTGAAAAAATTTACTGAATCTTAAAAACATATTGGGTCCAAAAATTTTTATTCATATCTTAAAAACGTGTCAAATCTAAAAAATTTTATTTGAATCTTAACATGTTTGGTCAAAAAAGTTTCATTTGAATCTTAAATACATGTTAGGTCTGTAAAATTTCATCAAAAACAGATATACTAGGTACGAAAGATTTCATTCGGTTTTGGAAAATGAATTAAAAAATTCAAAGTACGGTCTGTTTTAAAAAACATTAGATTAAAAAAAATTTGACTTTTAAAAAACATTATGTTTCTTGGAAAACATGTTCTGATCTTTTTGACTCTAATTCTGCTTGGTAATAATCTTAGAAGTAAACAGTAGGATTTTTTAAAAACGGCAGCCTTGGGTGTTTTTTCCTGCTGAATCTCATTGTGGCAATAAAAGAATCCCCTAGGCAATGGTAGGATCTGGGAGTCCCACTTGAAAAAAAATTGTCCCTACTTAGGGAGACATTCTCTGTTTTGGGGGACTGACTGTTGTAGTATCTGGCATGTCTTGTCAATAAAATAGTATGCCAATGCGTGGTCACGACCCTACATGTAACTCCTTTCCATCTAAATTTTGAATTTTATGTTAATGAGTAAGGATGGTCAAAATACTCCCAGCTGTTTTGTAGTAGGAGAAATTGTAATTCAGTTGCTGTGTAGAATACAGGGCTGATAAAGCAACAAGGACAAAAAGACCAGGAGCTCCTGAATTATTTTCACAATGCTCACTGTACTATGGTATCTCAGGGGTCAATTTTACCATGACACAAAACGGCTGTCAGCATTTTGACGATCTTTACCTGTTAAAGTAATTCTACTGAATCTGCAAGCGTGCCAAGACTTAGCAAAAATGTTCATATTAAAGGAAAGACGATCACAATTGTAATTTTGTGAAAAATAAAATGTAAAATGCAACTTCCTCTTTCTGAATTTAGGTTACAAGATTCCGGTGATCGAAAATTTAGGAGCAACACTGGACCAGTTTGATACCATTGACTTGTCGGATAATGATCTCAGGAAACTGGAAGGTTTTCCCTTACTGCGTCGCCTGAAGTGTCTGCTGCTGAACAATAATAGAATATGGTGAGACAATAGCGGGATGTAGCACTGTAATCGAGTCAATCACAAGCTACCTTAAGTCCATGACAAGCCATCCAGTCTTAAGCCCCGTCACAAGCTATTCAAATGAATGGTGACAAAAGTATTTCTCTGTCTAGCCCTATTCCTTGGCATGGATAGTCTGGTTACCTTGAATCCTTGGCTGTACCTATATATTCAGCTGCTGCAAAATTTGTGCAAAGTAACAGTGTTTCTAGTCGGCAACATTTCAAACAGTGCAAAATATAACTCTCTCCTGTAATTCACATGAACTGTAAATTCTTAAGCCATTCATTTGGCTTCTGTTGAATGTGTCCATTTTAAGGAAAACAAAGTGTTAATGTTTGTAGTCATGCCAAAGACATGATTTCTGATCTTGACAAAGATTAATCCAACCACGTCACATCCAGTGAAAGTTTACACGATTTACACCAACCTTTGCAGGTTATGGTTGGGCTTGCCATGTAAAATGTACTGTATGTTGCGTTGTAGCATTCATGGCTCAGTTTTTTCCTGGGTACAAATCTGAAGAGATTTTGTCATAAAATGTGTGAAATTTCACAGTCCAGTTTTCTTTCTTTTTTTTTCCAGTCGGATTACAGAAGGCTTAGAACAGAACTTGCCTCGCCTGGATTCCATCATCCTGACTAACAACCTGATGCAAGAACTGGTTTGTCTTTCAATTATGTTAATAATTTTTGCCTCATAAGATGTGCCAGAAAGATGAAAAAACTTTTAAATTGAAAATTCAAACTTGATACAGTTCATGAACCATTTTACATTTATAATGTTCTTTCTCTTCATGCACTATTTGCAAGCATGTAGCTTTCTTATGTACACAACTACATGAATATTGATTTACAGCACTGTTCCACATTGATCTGATTTTCAGGGTGACTTAGATCCCCTAGCAAGCATCAAGACACTTACATCATTGAGGTAAGTTTGAAATGAACCTTAAGAGACGAAAGCTTGTCTCCAAGTTGGAAACTGTCTTGATGTGGTACATGTGCTTCTTTGTTGGTCAGCATAAAATTTGTACAGAGTTGAAAGTGGTACATTTAACAATTGTTGACTGCTGTGATGTGGGATATGATGTTTTGAACACCGGAGGGACGCATAACGCCCTGAGGTGTGCCCGAGGGTGTTCAAAATGTCACATCCCACATCAAAGCAGTCAACAATTATTTTGTCAAGTGTCTGTCTTGAAATTTATCCAAAGAAACAAGCTTTGAATTTCAGAAGACGATAGGCCTACTGTCGAACTGTATAATTAACATAACAGACGTAAATGTATGCATTGTTTTAAGTGGCCACTCACACCCCCTGCTTATACGCTGCGGGGACGGGAACAAGTCCGTTATATGAACAGGACCATTAATCGAATTCCCTGGCAACCAATGCACAACACTCATCATGGGTATGTATCATGGGTACGCAAAACTGACTAAATGAGTGACAAGGGTTGCTCTCAAACTTCCCAAAGCTTTTCTGACTCGTGCGTACGCCTGTGCATATGCTATCGGAAGAATGAGGTGTCTCACGGTGAGTGTGATATGCCTTGTTTGCCCTGTCGTGATTGTTCTGGGCCTATGAACAGACAATATCCAAGACATAGGTATGGCGTGAATCAATGAATACAAGTAGTCTGGTTACAGCAGTCCTTGCATTATGGTGTGGAGGGTAATATGCATTTTTATTGCCTTGTCACATGATTGTTCTGGGCCAATGAAAAACCAGTATTCAAGACGGGTATAATGATACTGCTTGATGTACCATCTAAAGCCTTGATTTTTTCCCCTTACAAAACATGCTTCTCATGCCAGGAGAAAAACCTCCTGAGTCATGACACAGTTTGGGCCATGCTGCCCCCCTCAAAAAGTGAAAACAACAAATATACTCTTGTTTTCCCTTTTCTGTTGATTGCCGGCTAGTCTGTTGAGAAATCCGGTGACAAATCGGAAGCATTATCGGCTATACACCATCCACAAGATTCCACAGATTCGGGTGCTGGACTTCAGAAAAGTTCGACAGAAAGTAAGTGGTGTTTTATTTTGCACTCCCAGGCCCCCTTTGAAGGCATTGAGCACACAGTGCTCCCTGGCCCCCTTTGAAGGCATTGAGCACACAGTGCTCCCTGGCCCCCTTTGAAGGCATTGAGCACACAGTGCTCCCAGGCCCCCTTTGAAGGCATTGAGCACACAGTGCAACACGGGGCATTCAGTTTCATTGCAAAGAGTTGGCCATCCTGTGTAACAAGTTGTAATGGTTGGATGTCTTTAAGGTTTCTTTGATGAAAAGGTAGGTGAGAAATGTCTTGGTTTGAGGCCACGTTCCTATTGTGATTAACATGTTGACTGCAGACTACAAGTATACTTGTAGTGAAAGGTGGACCGGATTCTGCCACTACGAGTGTACTCGTAGAAAAGGAAAGGTTATTGTAATGTAAATTGAGTGCGCCGGCATCACCAAAGAACACAACCAATACGCTGCTGGCAGTGTGGAGGGCGTACACCTGTATAAGGGAGCGTTTCATAATTGTTGAAGGCGGTATTTACTGCGGTACCGCTGGTTTTTTTAGCGGCACCGCACTAGTTACCCGAAAGGGCTTAATGCTGGTACCGCAAAAATACAGCGGTACCGCAGTAAATACCGCCTTCTGTAATTATGAAACGTTCCCTAATAATCATGCTCAAACAGTCACGTGTAAGGTACCTGTTAAATATGCGCACATGTGTACAACGCTTGGCAAATGGGAACGCCCCTTTCAAATTATGCACAGCAGTCAATGTGTTAAAGAAGAGAAGGGAAAGTAAAAGCCTTTGAAATGAATCCCAACCCTCTCGGGGCCTTTCAAAATTCAGCGGTAGTTTTCAACTACTCTTGACTGGATGACGTGTAAACATACAGGGATTTCCAGTGTCACAACACAGAGGATGTTTAAATGCATTGTGGCAAATTCTGCTTACAGAGCCAGACGATATGTGTCCAACTGTTTCCCCGCGCTGGAATGCTTCCCACTGAGGTTTACACAGACATAGGCTCAAAACAGTCCGTAGATACTGAACTTGTAGAAATCCTCATGTTGAGCACTGTAGCAAATGCCAGTTTTCGACATTGTCTCAGAGTTAAAATACTGTCAGTGCGGTAAATGTCTACAAATCTTGAACAAATGGCCCCCCCATTGGCTGAAATAAGCCCCACCTTGGACATGGGGGATATAGAATAATGCCATCAGCAAGTCGTTCCTGATGCAGTGTAGACATTTATTTTGCATTTAGATATGACTTGATGGGTGCTTCCTAAAACATGATGGGTAAATACATTTATGTAAATATTGATTTAGCAAAGCACAGTTTCTATTCAGCTTTACTTTTCACAAAGCGGGGCCTGCTGATGATAATGGACCTCGCCTTCGATGTGGTCTGTCATTGCTTCAGATGGTTTTAATGTACTATATGAAAACCACTCATCACAATTCCATTCCCTGATTTTCAATAAGCATGATGTTGCCTATGAAGCTGAAAACTGACCTCGGTGAGGCAGATACTTCATTGCTGCCTGTACTGTTAGTCACTGGGTTTTTTCTTGATTTCAGGAACGAGAAACAGCTGCACATCTATTCAAGGGGAAGAAGGGACAGCAGCTGTCTAAAGATCTCGGCAGAAGATCAAAGACGTAAGTACGGCTCAATACTCGACTGTTGTGATCCAATCAGATGCACCACTGAACCATCCATTTGAAGGACGCCAAAGGTTATCAGAAATCTCCTTGTCCTCTGTCCACCATTTTGGCATGCAGTATGTTCGTGAGTTTTTTAGTTTATCACCCATTTCTCATGCATGTTTTGATACCAATTTTCCTATAAGTTGAACAAAATGTATCCTTTTGGAAAAAGGTAAAATTTTATTGTAAGGTAAAACAGTATGTAACCTTTTCTGTAGACGTTTCATAGTGAATGGAAATTATAAATGCAAGTCACTCGTCGTCAGCAGGTACAAGTAAAACTTAAAGTGGGTAACCTATTGAGTTGAACATTGGTGCTCTGGAACCTACAAAAGAGCCACATCGACTTAGATCCCAGCTTCATGTAAAGTAGTTCAGTTTCATCATGAGAATAACTCAAGGCTTTTTTCCCTTCAAAGTCCATATGCTGTATTGGACACATGAGGGTAATGTATATTTGGCCTTCTTTGTTTCAGGTTTGTGCCAGGGGCACCTGTGGCCGGGGAAGGAGACGCCAATTCTGGGCCATCACCTCAAGACTATGCTGCGATCAAGGTAAAGAAACCCTTCAGGAATTCAAGTTTGACTCATTACCTGTCATCTATCAGAATTGTGCTGAGATCCAAAAACTGGCAGAATAAATAACTGCCAATGTTTCTCAAAAACTGAACACTTGAGACGGACAAATTTTAAGGGTCTGTTGAGTTCATTTATAACCCTTGAAAATGTGTTTTAATAAACCTGTAATGTAAATTTGTTGGCTGTTTAAAAGGTGTGGTGCCTTTTTGGTTTTATGCAAATACAAATTTCTATATTCAGCAGTAATACGGTGATGCCGTCTCACAGAGAAAACCTCCATATTGCATTGATTTGTGCACAGGAGGCTGCTGCAATGTTAGATAGTTTGCTATCCTAAATTTCTCCTTAATTCGGATGCTTCATTGTTACGTAAATGTACGTGGCAGTAAGACAATGAGAAATACTTTCTCAGAAATGTTTTCAACGAACAAAGTTTGATTTCACAATTTGAGCCAAAAAATCACTCAACAGAACAGTGTCTTTCCTAAATGGCATCAAATCATCAGCGACCTCAGTTGCCCAGAAATGCACAGACAGTCCTTAAATGTTTGAAAAGTGCACAGTTCATTACACCTGCTGGTAAATGTAACCCCCAAAAAGATGTTGATACACTGAAGAAGTGAATGAAGTTGTGTAAGATGTGCATCCAGGAACAACGTGTCACATGGATCATTATATACAATGAACTCCGGCTAGGTCGGCACTCTCGGGACTCAAGAAATTATGACGACTTACGCGAATGCCGACTTGTGCTGTAAGTCGTCAATTTGCTGACTTGCACATACACATGTGTTTCCTATGTACATGTACATCATGATTCCTTGCACTAATTCAATGGCTTTGATTTACCCTAGTTTATCTCTACCTCCATGGTCGATCCCCGCAAATTCGTTCTCGATTATTATCCTCACGGGCTGCAAATTCGATAACTGATCATGTGCCCCTAAGAACGAAGCAATATCGTCCTTATTACGTATATTGCATATCACATCATGGCTCAACAGTGCAGCATACATGTACATGATACAGATAACATACACTCATCCGCACACGCATTGGTTAAGTTTGGTCAATAAGGTGACCCCCAAAATTGGCAGAGCGCATGCATGTAGCACTAAAGGGGTAACTGGTATTGATGTATTTGTGCTGGCCGATTATCAACCGTGGCCTGTACTGCTAATAAACAGACATCAGGTCAAGCAGTGTGGGACTTGGCACTTCTCGTTAACCATGGCAAAGGAAACTGATACCTAAGCACGATTCTTTTCAATGCCAACTTACACAAAGGAATTTTTGTGGTTTTGTGGAAAAGGAACGAGAAAAACATCCCGACTTAAACGAAGTGACAACTTATAAATGCCAACTTAAAAATGAAATTTTCAATGGAAATGCATTACAGACGATCGGGACTTTTGTCAAAAGGCCGACTTAGAAGATATGACGAGTTATGCAATGCCGACTTAGTCAGAGTTTCCTTTCAGTGTAAATTCCTGTTTTCCAATGAATTCAGGAGCCTTGTGACAGAAAAATTCATTCCATGGGGGTGGGTGGGAAATCACAGGATTCTTTCCAGAATTTCAGGATTTCTGACCCAGATATTCTGGGTTTGAATCATTCCGTTTTGTTGCATTTTTTGCACATTGGAGGGAAAAGTGGCAAGTTCAAGATTAATACAGTCATAGTTATTAGAGAGAGAACTCCTGCCTTGTTCGCAGATGAAACGCAAAAAATCACAGTACATGTATTTTAATTCTGTCATTATTAAGACCTGTCCAGTTGGCGTTTCAGGGAATACATGGACTTTCATCCCCCAATCTTACCCCTGATCTACAGCATGTAGATGCTTGTGCCCTCAAAGGACTGCTCTTTCCTAGCCACGATTTTCATTAGCAAAGTAATACACAGCCTGTCTGGCTCTGCAGACACACAGGCTGGGAGTTTTGTACATTTTTGATCTGGACAACAAAAATCCAGTGTAATTGTTTTTTTTCCTGCATTCTTTTTACCAGGCTGCCATTGTTAATGCCAAATCGCTGGAGGAAGTGGAGAGATTGAACCAATTGCTGAAAACAGGCCAGGTACCAGGCAAAGACGTCCTCAGTAAAAACAAAACAGGTATGAAACCCAAAAGTGTTTGGATTCACATTATTTAGTTTTCCTAAGCCTTGATTAACCACATTGCCCATTGTATACACAGGCATCATGGCAGACAGGTTAAAGCATGAGGTGTGCCTTGACTCTCTTCCGGCCGATGTTTAAACGTTCCCTGTTCGTTTTGTACTCATGCACAAGGTCCCAGAAGTATGCAGAGGCAGACCATGTGTCGAATTTGAACTTAGCAATTGTGCGCGGCCTGTTGTAGCAAATATCATTCTGAGGGCGCGCCCTGGAGTGTTGAAAAACATCAGGTCCTAGAAAGAAATCTGTTCCGACAGCAGGTCCGTAGAGTGTTGAATTGGTTTTAGCGTTACAGTGGCAACTCTACAGTCTACAACCAGGTTTGGGCGGTGTTGTCCAGATCAGTGAGTACCTGTACACCATTTGGAGGGCTGAATTACGGATATTCGGCTGCACCCAGGAGATGTCAAAGGAAAGGCTTAATGTTAACCCTGACAATCGCAAGCCAGCCCAGCCTTAACATTGGGGTTTGTTGCAATCTGTTAGGATGAGTACTGCACTGGTGTACCGGCTGTGTTTGATGTCAGATTAGGCAAACCACAAATGAACAGAGTCCAACTGTCTATGTGCACAGTTTGCCATATGATGTTGAGGTTTGCAAGGATGTGGAAGGTTGCAAGTAAATCATCCTGGGGTTAGAAATTAATGGGACTTTCTGGGTGTGGTTTTTTTTTCAGAAGAGATGGAAGAGGAAGAAATGGAAGAGGAGCAAGACATGGAGCAGGGTCCACCTCAGGGGGTTGTGAATGGGGCCATGGCGATGGCGTGATCTGTGATAGCTTGGGTGGTCGGTATCTGACAGGGCTCTCTGAAGAGTTTCCTGGAGAGGGCCTGCAGTTGTAATAATAGTGCAAACCAGTCACAAGTTGTCAGGAGTTACCTGGTATCTCAGATTGTCACAAGCCAACACAAGCACATTGCAAGCCAACTGCGAGCTGTTAAGTCACATGTCGGGACACAGGTATTCAGGCGACTGTGACCAAGGCATTCCACTGTCATTGGGCATCTCTAATTACTTCACACACCCTTACATTTGTATCCTTGTGGGGAATTTCCTTTGCATGTGTTTACGGTGCCTTGTGGGGTGCCAGAACAATGGGAAGTACCCCATAAGGAACATTCGTTGTCCTTGTGGGGTACTAAAACGGTACTCCCAAAATGGTACTAAAGCAGTACTCCACAAGAATTTCAGGAAAATGAATTTGAAATTTACTCAAAAGTAAAAAATTTTTCAAAGTGTACTTGTATGTCACAAATTATGATCGAAATTTCAGCCAAGAAAAATGATTCAGGACCAAATGGAAGCAATTGGAAAAGTGTACTTCACACGCTGATTTTTTACTACACGAGAACATTACACTTTGGAGTCCTGCTGGGAGCCAGTGAGCCTTTACCTACAAGGTGTTTGAGGTGGTTAACTGAATGGCTGATGTAATTCCAGAGATGTACTCTAGTCCGTGGCATGCCAATTGTAATTCAGTAACGGAGCTTCTGCCTTTGTCATGTGTATAGCAATCCACTTTGAATGGTTTGTGACTTGAATTAAGACTACTCAACTTGTGATTGACTGAAGATTAGTTAAGAAAGTGTTTGATGGTGTGAGAGCTTAAATAAAATATCGACGTGTCACCCAAGAACAGCATCATCGTACCATTTGTACATATTAGATGTCACATGTCATGTGTAGAGTGGCTTTTTAAGCTACGTGTTAAGTAGTTATTAAAGTGAAAAGAACATAACCTGGGAGTTTTTTTATTGTACAAGTTTTGTTTCCTTTTTTTTTTTCATTTACATATATATAGAGATATGGGCAGTTGGAAGAATGGTTTGTCACGTTTCTTTTTTTCTATGACCATTTATGGCATAAAAAATTCAAAGATTGGAAAAGAAATGAAAACATTGTGTGGTAAAATTTGAACACCTCATGTCACAGCTTTCAAGGAGTGAATGTATCATTTATTCAGAAATGGTTTTGGATGAATGAGAAAAGAGACGTGGGTGGTGTTTTGAGAAGAGGGGGCCAAAATGTGGCTTGATGTTGTCCATAAAGGAGCTACTTACTTTGTACCCTGCTAGTGAATGGAAGATTATAAACTGAGTCGTGAGTACCATGTATTGGGTCCAAGGCTGCACGAAGGAGGGATTTTTGTTTTGCAAATGTGACTAATTTTTGGCATTTCACAAGGAATCGTAGAGTGGACGGATTTTTCTTCTCTACCCAAGTGGAATTTTTTTCTGGTCTAGAAATCACCTCGCCACTTTATGTTGTAATTGAGTAAGCTAGAAATGTTGGAGGTTTTGTAGAACTTTCCAAAGCAATCCTTCTTACTGTGTGGCCGACTCGGCCAAATATTTGACTTTATATGGAGGATGGGTTATGGGTACCATTGGCGTGGTCTGGCACATCAAACATCATGTAAGTGAGCTACCTGTACCATTTACTTTTGTCACTTGTCCCAAGTATGGATGGACAGTATCCCTAATTTTCCAACCGCAGGGAAAAGGAAAAAGAAATTGTACGATCTTGATTTGTCTTATGATCATTACTGTTTGCTGCCCAGGTTAAATGATACTACACATGACCTGGGCAGTCAGAAGGTCGAGAAAGCGATTAATAGGGTATTTTTTTAAATTGATTCCTTCAAGTGTTTAAACCCTTCAAAACTCTTCAAGACTTGCATCAACACTTGTTCACAGAGAGGATGCACACTTCACAAAACCATGCAGGATGATTCCCAGTGGTACACACTTTGCCTTTCTTCATTTTTTAAAAGTAAATAAAACCTTTGATATTAACTGCTGTCTTGTTATTATGGGGACAAAGTTTTTGTACCCATAACTCAGTCCTAAATTTTCTCACTAAACATATTGTATACTCAGTGCGGGGCTGGCTAGGGCACACAAGCTGTTCCTGCAGTTTTGGGGGCTGGACACCCGTTGAACAGTGTTAGAAAATCTGTATGGGGATGCGTGAAAATCCAGTCCAAAATTTCCTTAAATATGGTTCCCTGAACACCCCTGCCTGCCAGGATCCACTGGCCCATGCAGATATGGTACTGAGTTCACTTGACTCAGTTTCATCTGAACACGTCTTTGTAGAGGAAACCGTTGACCGTGGTAACACTTTCTCAGCTGGGGCCAATTTCATAGAGCTGCTTAAGCACAAAATTTGCATTAGCATGAAAAAATGTTGCTTGACAAATCAGGTTACCAGCCAAGACTCCATGTGATGTATATTATTTTGGAATGGTATACACCAGTCTTTTGGGTTAGCATGACAATCACATAGATTTTTAGCTGGTAACCTTTGTTTTTTAAGCAAGGTTTTTGCGCTTAAGCAAATTTTGTGCTTAAGCACCTCTATGAAATTGTCCCCTCTGGTCATTTGTATTGTGATAACTTCTGTACAGAGCCACTGTTCTGTAACAATCGCTCAGCTTTATCTGTACAGTGAACATATTGACAGCTGCTGAGGTTAAAGCTATAAAATCTCTCCCTTTCACAACTCAACGAGCCCATTGATGGCATAATCATGGAACCTCAATGCCAACGTGAACTCTTTCATATGGGCACCCAGGCTTGGAAACTACTTGAATCAGTGCTGCACAGACCAATCAGTGTCACTTTTTCACCAAGTTTGGTTTGGGGAATAGAACAGCAGTGTTGCTGCGGCAGCGGAATCATTTTCAAAGGGAGGGAGGGGCCTGGCAGTTGTGAGACCATCAGACATCAACCATTGCACTTAACAAACCATTCTATGAGGCCATGTCCCTTTATAGAGTACCAAAGTAAATATGTGTATGTCGTCCACAGTTATGTTTGTATGAAAAGGCATCAGCATGAGAACCAGCGCATGAACCAATGTGCACTCGTACTCCATTCGTTTTCACTTCACTTCCTGGTTCAAAATGATGTCACACTTCGGTACTCTATAGCATCTGCCTAAAAGGGGGAGGGCCATACCACCCAGTTAAAAAAGTGAGGGGGGGGGGCTACTGACCACTTGCACCACCAGTGAACACAGTGCAGTAGAGCAAGGGATAATGATGTTTCCTACCCAAATCATCCACCATCTGCATGAACATATGCATGCAAATGCTGAAGAGTTCTGAAGGTTTGTACCAGACAAGGGTGTGTTTTTTATTCTCTGTATATCTGAGTACAAAATTCCAAACAGGTTCAAACCTATGGCATTCATTGTCTTTATGAAGTTAGAATTCTCTGCCAGGTCCAAAGGGTATGACCTGTGATTCATGTTTGTATGACATTCAGCTTTCTTGCATTCTATTTTCAATAAATTTTTCCACTGTATGGAACATCAAAATCCACTCTGTTGTGAGTAATGTATGTCACCAAAGTCTGATGACCATCTCAAAGAGATGGAATGCACAGTCTTGGACTTGAGCCTGGACTAAGTAGGTGCAGGTGTTGATAAGACAAAGACCAAGATATTTATAGAAAGGAAATCCTGCAGGGTCAAGTTTGGACTCCCATTAAGTGTGGATGTGATCCTGTTCTAATCAGTGGGTATCCGACATCTGTCAGGTGCACATACGTTCCTGGTTTCATTTCATTTATGTTTACACATTAGGCCAGCATTTAATATGACATAGCATGAAATTTTGCAGGGTTAAAGGACAGAAAAAAAACCATGAAGTTCTATTTTTCCCCCACAATTATTTAATCTTGGGTCGGAGGAGAAAAAAGTTGCATTTTGTCTCTTTTTTAAAAGCATTTTTAAAAAACACCGTTGAGAATAAAATGTCAGTTTTTTCTTTTTCTTTCTAAAATTGCATTATAATAGGACTCTGCGGGTTCGTAATCCAACCATGGAAAATATTGACCTTGACAATCTTTCTGAAAAGAAAGCACAACTTTTTATGAATTGGTTGGAAATATCAGCATATCGTTTATTGTTTTTCTATCCCAAGAATGCCTCCAAAATAACTAGGGTCCCTTAGTTTTCACACTGTACCTTGACAATGTAGCAGAGAGCAGTTTGATGGGGCTCTCAAGCAGTGAAGCTTAGGACCTGCCTGTCTGGCTCTATATAGTTTAACCCCTGAAACTTTTGCCTCATTGGAAAGTATGCGCGCTTGGATCATCAGACTCCAACTAGTGGGACTCTAGACTCGGATGTGATGAAATCATCAGGCTCCAACGAGTGGAACTCTAGACTCGGATGTGATGAACTCAACGAGTTGTGCCTACGGATAATTGGGCTCAGGATCCAGAAAGTTGCGGGCAAAAATTCTCAAAATGATGAAACAGAACCATGATAGAAAACATACAAATTTACTTCTTGTATATGCACTCCATTACATTCTTTATTTGTTCAATCGGCATTCATTTGACCAACAATCCTGATAAAGAAGTAGATTTCAAAATAATGGTTTTCTTCTTTTTTTGTACAAATTGGAATGGTAAGTGAACTGCCTTTACACTAAAGCCACTCAATTTTCTATGTCAAATGAACTTCTGAGAAATACCTTTGGAAGTTGACGACTGTTTAAAATATATGTCCAATTACTTTGTCGCCTAATTTTTTTTCCAAAAATACCATCTTCAGAAAAAGTTGAAAAGGTCATTCACAAATTGATCAGTTAAATTTTCAAATCTTGTAAAAAACTCCAGTCCTTGAAGCACTACTGTAAAGTCTAACCACTCTACGATATCTTAAAGATAAAAGGAAATAATAAGTTGGGATACAACTGTTATGTTTACTCTATCATGGATTCAAATAATCTCATTAAGGACAATTCAGTTTTGTGCGTCAGCATTTTTTATAATGCTAATTTTCCCCCTGGTAAATCTGCTGCACAATTCTAGAAGATTAAATGATTAAATCAAGACAATTCATGGGATAGTCATCACTCATCCTGCTACGAAAGGAGACAGCATCTGCCAAGTGCAAAAATTGCCCAAAGTAGAAAACCGAACGGAGGCCATGTGATGTAATTTTTTTAATGCAAGTTCTTGTAAACAGAAAACCTCTGTTGTGTCCCATTCAAACCAATTTTCATTTTTGTCCATACAATCTTGGGGGCATTGTGGCACCTTTATGACTTGAATGCTATACAAATAGGCATATTGATGAGCGAAAGTGTGATGTCATCTGAAGGAGAAACTTCAGTGTTTTATAGTAGTTTCTGCCAGAAATGTGGCGGACGTTCACACATTTGCTGTTTTCATTTTTTTTTTCTCCTTCGGTGGTTTGAGTTCATGTCTGTTGGCCGGCAAGTGAAAGTTTCTCACATTATTTTTCAATGGGCGCATGCTGGGTTAACGATCTAAACACCCCCCCCCCCGAAAAAAATGAGCAGTGTCTTCCTGTAATGAATAATACAAGCGGCACCTAAATTAAGTCAGTGAAACTGAAAATTAAAACTTTTTTAAAAAGGACCCTTTTCAACAAGAGTAACCAAAAAGAGGTGCCTGATTGTTTTCTTAAATTTAAGAGTAAAACATGCAAAGTACATTGTTCCTAAGTAAACTTCACATCATGAGCCCTGTACACCTCTTATGGGGAGGGGCCATTGCTATGGGGAGGGGCCATTGCTATGGGGAGGGGCCAGTACTATGGGGAGGGGCCATTACTATGGGGAGGGGCCAGTACTAGTCAAAGTGCTACTTCATGTACATAGATACTGCTATTTAAAATCTTGTGCTTACTACTGTTTGTTTTGCTTACTCGTCTAGTTCAAAACTAGGGGGTCATGAAATGTTAATCAGACCATAACCTGAAGGATTTCATGCTGACGGTCGAATTTAGTCCCGCATAAAAGGGATGAATTTTTTGTACAAGGGTTGTGTAACAGGTAAGCCCTCAACCGACCTTGTCACCTGGTACACCACACATCGACACTCTTCAGCATGTGTCTTGAAATCAACTCTCTCCCTGCAACAACTACAGTGCTTCAATCTTAGTAGTAATCACACACAGCAGTCACCACAAGAAAACACAAACAAAAATGACTCTAGTTCCCTAACTCCATGATTTCAAAGGCTCCACAGAAACCAAGGTGCCATCGTCACTGCATTCAACTTGATTAAAAGCACAATTGTATCTGTCAATTGAATGAAATCAGAACTACATAAGAAAAGCACACACTACATGCATACATACGTGTATAAGTACACTCCAACTAATATATTTTACTCGATGAACTTAAAACTTTCCTTAAAGGATGTCAAATAGTTACCAGACAAGAATGTTTAGTAATACTGTAATTTTGTATCAACTTCCAACTGATATCAATACTTCCAAAAAATTGGCAATCTGTGAATTTTTTTAAATGTTTGGCAAAATGTGTAGACTATGCACTGTTCAGCTGTTGGCATCTGGTCAACTACTTTACCTCAAAGGATGTCAAGGCATGGGGGGAGGTGGTATGCCAACTTCAGGGCTAGTGGGGTAAAGCACTCACAATCTGCCTGTCGTCCAGCTACCCTGAAAACTGATCCAAAACTTCCACACACCTGACATTTTTTCTCACTTATGCCAAGACTTGACTTCAGCAGATGGGGTTGAACCAAAATCTTTTGACAGCTAAAAATGTCAGACCCAACCACCACAGTGTATGCACAGTGTATAACTATGGTAAACCACATCGCGCATGACGATGTCTAAGCATGATGATGTCAAAACAAGGAGGGCGCTCAAACACTTCCATGCTCATCCTCACACCTGAGTGATTCCCACTAAGTCTGTACACAAACAGTCTATGGAGGGTTGTGTTTGCTGCCCTCAAATGGCTTTGGGCCATGACTGAGCTTACACAGACATTGTCTTGGAGTTTTTAAAAGTAACAGTGCAGACCGTGAACCGATGACCACCAAGGGTCAGCAGCTCGAAAGTCCAACTTTGTAAAGGACTGTGCATATGGTAATCTTGTCCTCTCAAAAAAGTCAGCATTCTTGGCTGAAATTTATATCTTGCAAGGGGCAGTTTGGATGTGGAACAATACCATCAGGAAATGATTAATAATCAAGATATGTAACAATCCCTGGGGGAAAACAAATATACAATTGAAACTTCCTGAGGAATGGTCACCATGCAATTTCTGTGCAATGTCAAAATAAAAGGCAATAAAACTGCAAACCCCATTGTCTTCACTTCATTTTTGGTTTCATTAAACATCTTTGGGCAGAAATATTATTTTTTCCATTCTGACATATCAATGTCTCCTTTACATCAATTTGCAATTTACAAGCAATTGCAAATCTCACGGTTGTAAGTATTCAATATGACAGGTGAATAAAAACTTTAAATAAAATGTTAAATATATTTTCATTCAAAAAAGCAATATATTTTTATTTTAAATGTTAAATATTGGACATGATAGGCAAATAGTATCATACTGAAAATCACTTCCGATCTTCATCTGGTATGTTCCATCACTTTACCCTGATTACCCAGTGGCATAATAGCACATCTGAAATCCTATAAGTAATTTATTATTAAGTTGGTATTATGATATATATTGATTTAATATAATGATAAATCATTTTGCTTTAGCACACACGTTCTGTCAAAGGCATTAAGACTTTAAATTGGTTTTTGTTAGACATTTAACAACAGCAAAGTTTTGATGCCAAAGTAAAATTTTTGTGTTGTTAGTTCTTCCATGTTGAAAAATTTTCAGTTTTGCTGGGATATTTTGCGACATCATACTTTAAGAGTCTCAACCGGAAATAATCCAGCCGTGGGGAAGGAGAAACCAGAACTAGTATTTTCAAGGAGTCACACTGCTGAATAAAAAGGCTGAGGTATGTCAGGCCAGAAACAATCAGGCAAAATGTTACCTTGTACGGACTGAATGTTATTAGGAAGAAGCACTGAGCGCTACCCCACGGTTTGGTATGTAGGGTATCTCACGCTTGACCATCTTGATGCAGTCGATGATCGGGCATACGCTGACGCACAGCGTGCAACCGGTGCAGTCTTTGGTCACGTGTGGCAGGTGGGTAGCGGGGTCGAAGGTGATGGCCTGGTAGCCGTTGTCGTTGCAGGTCATGTAGCACTTGCCGCAGTTGATGCACATCTCTTCGTCGATGAGTGCCACCACTTGCTGGGTGTTATCCAGGTCACCGTAGGAACCGATGCGATCCAGGGCGCACCCAATGACATCCTGTGTGTGGGACAAGAAAAAAACAACGCAACTTATTTGGATCATTCCTTTTTTAAGGGGCTGTAATCAATTTCAAAAACTGAAATGGTCATACACGCCCTGTGTGCAGACCCTTCGTAAAAGCGACACCATGAACATCATGAATATTAATTTAACAAACTGACATTACAGTGACACGTAAGACATTGATGGTTTTCACACCGACATGCTAGCATGTAGAGAATATATACCTTGCGGAGAAAAATACTTTTAACGGATTTGACACAAATTTGGTCATTCCATTTCCTTCTAGGGTGAAGAAACTTGTACCAGGAAACCTACTGAATTATGACATTCAGGAAAGGTTCACATTACAAAAACCAAGCCTCATCAACTGCGAGTAGACAGTGCTCGGTTACAGTTGGTGAAATGCAAACTTACATGGTTCATGCCGGCAAATGACCAGAAGAGGGCCCTATTTCCCTTGGCCTTTGTCCTCGGGAAATAGAACCCTCCCCTGGGCGCTCAAAATAAACGTGAACTAGTGACCTCATGCCAGTCCATATGTGTATATTTACACCCTCCCCCTCTTCATCTTGTTAACTTCTTGTTGATGTAATAATGCACTCGTGGTTTTCATTGTTCTCGGCTTTTCCTCTGAAGGTCCTCGTCTTCCTTCTGCCCACACACCTTCCCCTGCTTACTTTTTCCTTCCACTACTTGCTTCCACACCTCTTTGTGGGCTCTCTCTTAAAGCTGTTAGACAGGGACTTCAGCTAAACATGTTTTCTCTGTTTTGGAGGATAGACCTTTAGGGAAAAAAAAGAGATCTGCTGAATGATGACTGCGGATGTTTTTACCTTGATGGTTGGGACAGCCTTCTTTGGCTTGTTGGTGGAGCCTTCCTCCTCAGATTGGTCGGGGTATGGCAGTGGGCCCACTTTCCTCTTGTATTCTGCCAGTCTACGGATCCGCTCTTGCTGGTAGGGTCCAAATGATGGCAGATGCTACAGACACAAAGTTACAACACATGTACGTGAGCTGTGTGGTGCCAACTGCAGGTGTGTCTATTCTGCACAAAAGCCGACACGGTAAAATTGGCGGTAAAATTGCGGTGTCATGGCAAAAACAGTCCAGGGAGCAAATCTGCACAAATTTGAAAACATTTCAACTTTGACAGATTTGCGACGAATGCGATGCAGTGGTAAATTCATGTTCATGTTTGGTTTGATGAATATGAGTGATGTGAGATATCAATAGATACCACGTGTACCTTGGTCTCCACTACAGGTGCAGTGTGTCTCTGTATGGTTGACTTTGCTTGCTTCACTTATGCATTATGCTTCTGGCATACATAGCTTACATAAGAGTTTTATACACAACCGTATGGTTTTTGTACCTTGAAGGTGGATATGGTAAAAGTCTTAGTCTGGATCGTACAGTCTTAAATGGACTAAACATATCGTGAAATTTACACCTAAATCATACAAGTTGGCATCTCTGCACCACTATCCTCACCTGGCTGGGGAGAGAAGTAATAAACTGATTGGTCATTGATCAAAATTGGCATTTCTCGCTGCATGTTTCCTCTAACTGCAGGAATCTTTCCCCCTGTTTGTTTGTGCATCTACCCAACAACCCAATGCACTCCCATGTGGGTGTTACTAAACCATTATTAACAATGATAGGTGAGGTCTAGTACCTTGCCTACGATGTCAGCAACCTTGGGCACCAATTTGCCCTTCTGGTGTCTGGCGGTAGGAGGGCTCTGACCATCCCAGTCCTCAAACGCACTGATGCTCTCCATGTACAGTAGAGCCTTCAGGCCTGTCACGTAGTCCTCGATCAAGGTGAAATCCTGGTTCTGCACTGCGCTACAAACCTACAGGGAGAAGACAGGTTCGCGAGATGGTTAGGGTTCGATTCTGAATTCGAGCGGGAGTGGCAGGTGGTTCATGGCTAGCATGAAATCAAGTGCAAATTTATGATACCATTTCAAAGGCGTGAAGCACGAATTTACTTTGACGTTGAAGCTTTGACAAATATATGACGAACAGAGAAACCTTTTGAAGTCACAAGGGCAAGGGGAGGGGACACAAATATGGAGTGATGATTTGTACATGTAATATCAATGGTCTTTCTAACACGTGAAGCTTAATTTTGGGCATTTTACACACATTGTCAATTGAAAACGTATCAAAATGAATCAGTCTCAGTAAGTACTGGGGTAAAAAAAGCCGCCGGGCTTCACTAGTGGGTTTCCAATGGATTTCTCTCTTTCAACAATGTTGCCTTGATGTACAAAACTAAAAGGTAAAATTTCTGCGGAGGATGTTTTGATTCAATGAAACTTTTATTGTCTAGTGCACAAGAACTAGTCTACGTTTCACAGTGAGTAGGCTTTTATGTCTGAACAGTTGGAGGTACTGTGTCGCACACTGAAAGGCTTCCGTGGTGCCCCAGACTAAATGTGGGCCGTCACCTTGGCCAGGGAGTTCTTTCCTTGCCTTTCACATCTGCAGCCCGGGTTCGATTCCCAGCTCTGTCCATAAAGTAAGTGGTTTGGGGTTTCAGTCCCTACCAGATTCCGTGGGTTTTACTTTGAAATTTCTTATCTGAGGTTTTCCTTCCAACCTCCAAAACTGTAACTGCTTCTTCTTGTCTCCTTTCTACAGATGTAGGTGGATGTGGGTCGTTCGGCGGCTGCCGGAGGCGCCCTTGTGTGCCATTGGCTGGACCCCTTCTGATATCTTCATTGTACACGCAATTGAACATAACTGTATGAACCATGCTCTTTATAAAATGACTATCAACTTAAATCAAGCCTCAACCAAGAGGTCATTGGTCCATGTACATGTATGTGGCCTAACCAACCACTGGTCCTGACCTGGAGGGCGGCTGCTCCGGCATGCAAGTACTGGAGTCCAACCTCGGCTGAATCAATCCCGCCTGTGGCCAGAATGGGGAACCCCGGCAGGGCACCGGCAATGGCCGACACGGCGCGGAGAGCGATGGGCCGGATGGCGTTCCCAGATACACCGCCGTAGGTGGTGCGCTGCTCCTTGCCTATGGCAGGCCATGCGCTTGAGGAACCCCGCAGTCCCATCAGGCCCGAGACGGTGTTGGTAGCGGTCACGCCGTCAGCTCCACCTGTCCATGAATGAAAGCAGGACTCCAATATATCACCATGACACAGGAGAACAAGGCATATTTCATGGTAGTTACTCTAGGTACTCCACCTGTTCATACTTCAGGTAAATGCGAACGCAAAGCAACCTTGATATCACCGGTTGAAAAACATTCAACTTTTTGCGAATTCACAGAGCCAATATTTGATCTGACATCATAAAATTGTGCATGTGTTTGCAAGCCTTCGGTTTGGTGGCCAATTTCTCTGAAACTACCAATTACACGACTTCCAGTTTTCCAAATGAACATGTATTTACATTCCAAGATGTTAAATATCCCAAATTTTATTTCATTCGCTTATTTCAATTTGGCTCTGGCAAATGATCTCGAGTTCAAGAAACATTTTCAAAAGCTTGCTATTGGGAGGCAGTGAAAACACATCCATCTTTGGCATCGTGGGAACAGACCAACCAAGGGTTTCAAAGTGAGTGAGAGATTCTACATTTTGGACTGAATTCATGAAACTAAAATCCCAAGCCAAAGCTGAAGACTGACCCAAAGTTCGGAAAACTTGTCAGTCTCAACAGAAAAAAAAAGGTTTGAGCCATTTCTCAAATCTGGGGACCTCTTTCAGTTTTGACTTCAGGCTCAGGCTTCAAGATTGCAGGCCTTGACAGTCAAATCCTTTAACATGCACGTGAGAGTCTGGCTTAAATATTGAAGTTTCTAATCCAATAGTCCTAAGAAGCCAAATTCAGATTTGCAAAATAACTCAAGTAACCATGTAGGGGCGGGAACTTGTGGGAATCCATTGATGAAACAACTATGTCAGGCAAAAATCTTCAATACTTTGGATGAGCAACACTGAGATGTGACTAGAAACAAGGCTACTGAAATTGCCACTTACCGTTCTTGGCTGCACGGGCAATCTCCACGATGGAGGTGACATTAGGGGTCAGCTTGGCAAAGAAGGGAATCTTGACGGCCTCCCGGACCCAGCGGCAGATGTTCAGGACCAGCTCAGGGTTTTGGCCACAGGCCAGGCCCATGCCTCGCTCTCCCATGCCGTGGGGACAGGACAGGTTCAACTCCAGGGCGTCGGCACCGTGTTCCTGCGCGTCAATGAATGGAAAAACTCAATCACATTTCTAGGTAATTTTCCTTCTCTGAGGGTTAAACTTGTTGACAAGTCAGTGAGACATATTAACATCAAACATGCCAAAAGGGCCAGTTTTTTACATCTCAACAGGTGTGGTCCCCACAATTACAGAACAAGTATGTGTGTTCTGTGGCACTCTTACAACATTCTTGCAAGCCCTCAAATTTTTTTCACAGGCCACAGGTGCCGTGCCCGCAGGTGCCTCTTGGCTAAATCTGAGCCCCCGTCTGCCTACCTCAGCCATCTGGCTCAGCTTGAACCAATCCTCTTTGTTGTAGCTGCACATGATGCTGGCAATGACGATCTTTTGGGGGAAATCCTGCTTGAGCTCCCGGACGCTGCGGCACCAGTAGGCGCTGGTCTTCTCGCTGACCAGCTCGATGTTTAGGAAGGAGCCCTGGCCCGGGCCAAAGGTGTGGCCTGAGGTGGTGCCCCGGACGATACGAGGTGAGACATTGGTAACTATGTCCTGATAGAGAGAATGAAAATCAAAGTCCCACTGAGGCCATGAAAAACAAAAACTTGTTTCCCATCACATTTTCTGTGGCAGTTCCACACATCTGTAACTCTCTACCACTTCACCTTAGATCTTGTCCGTGTACTACAACATTTAAATCATTAGTCAAACCCATCCAACAAAACAAGGTTTCAAGGACTAATTTCATTAACTGTATTACTTTCCATAATTTGTTTGTCCTAAAGTTTGCTGCGCCTTGAACATCCAATAGGGCGGATATGTGTGCATTAGTTTTATTAGTATTATTATTCAATGAAAAAATAAGAGAGGGCAAGTTTTTAACCACTTGCTGCCGGGGTTGCCGGTACCGGACACGTATTCTTTATATGCGTGGCAGGGGTCTCCAAAATCGGACAAAGGGAACTGGGCCTTGTAACAAAAGACTGTAATTGTAACAAAAGAGGAGGCTGCTGGGCATTACCAACATTATTTCACTCTCAATAGTGGAGATAATCCAGCCTTGTTTTGAAACAGTATACCACGGTTTGGGGCATTTAGTGCAAGCGGATTACCACCGGGGACAAAAGCGCTCCACCACTGCAACGATGAGCCACACAGTACTGCTGCACGCTAATCTGGCCCCTATTGAAAAGAGGTCAGCAGCACACTGTGCCAGGTTCGTGAACAAAAAAAAATTATGTAACACCACACAATCTGGGTTCTTTTTACAAGGCAGCTGGCCTGGCTGAAATACTCCAGTGTCAATAGATTTTGTCTATCATATTAGAGTAGAAACCAGACAGTTCTTCGTGTGGGTGTAAGTGTCCAGTAAATGAAGATAGGAATTTTTAAAGAATTTTGAAAACAGAAAAAAAATGAAAATTATCCCGTCCCAGCATCATCAACAGTCATAAATTCCCCGGCATGAGATTAATCTTTCCTTTCGAAACAAGAAATGTTTTTGCAGGATGATGTAATATTTTTTGGTTTTGTGCACATGTGTGTATCATCAGAAAGCATGGTCCACTGCATTCAAAAGTTCACTTTGTGAACTGGAGTGGGAAATTTTGGAAAGAATTCACTGTTCACATTTACACTCACACTTCATAAGGCAGGAAAATCTTTCCCACATTTGGGAAAATCTGCGAAAGCTTTATTACTTTGAAAATGTTTTTCATAGTTTGTGACAGAAAAATGAATTCCTGGGAATAGAAAAGGTGCGAATAGAATGTCCATTCCAAGGTTAACTTTCAATTGCAGACTGCTGTTCTCTGAACCAAGCCACTGGCTGATATGTATACACATGTAGCTTGACTACATGAAATCTTCAAGAGTAGGACAACCCAATGTGAAACAGAAACACCCTGTAAATCACCTTTTGATCAAAACAGACAGCAAGCTTGATATTTAAGATTAAAAGACCTCATCATCGGCAACAGCACATAAGTAAAGAACATTAGCAACACATCAAAAATCTGTCAACACTATTCAATTCACCAGCTTGGTTTGTATACTAAACGAGTCGATGGCTAGGGGCTTTGAGTGCTAACAAGGCAAGGAATTTCTTCATGAAGTGGTTGTCTTCTATGGGATGACACAGTGTGTGTGCTGACATGCCCACATGGGTAGGCCTTCACTGGATTAAGGGGACAATTTCTTTTTTTTAAGGTAAATTAGGACCAAGTTATGGGGACATTTCTGTGTCCCCACAATGTTTTGGTCCCCACAAAATAGTTGAAATATCATGTGTCTGTCCCACCAACTATTGAACAAGTAGCCGTGTGTTTACATGTGTCCGGCATGAAGTAATACTGTACAGCTATTAGTGTTTGCATTAAGACCAGGCAATAAATGGCATTTTACTGTAACCCTAACCGCCCTGCTCGCACAGAGAATATAGTGGGTGTTCCAATTCATCTCACCTTGTCTAGAGTGAAAGTCTTGGTGACCACAAACCCCCAGCCGGCTCGGAACGCCCGTCGTATCATGGGGGCTGAGGTGGTGGGTGGGGCGCTGGCCAGGCCAAAGGGATTCTCAAACTTGAGGCCGCAGATCTCGGTGCCGAGGTCGACAAGGTCAATGGGGCTGTAGAACTTCGGGAGAACGGGGGTGGTTGACACGGGGAGGCCATGGAGGGACTGAAAACCAAAATGGAAATTAGCGTCTATATCTGTGTCTGGAATCCTTAAATTCTCTTGTTCTAAGAAAAAAAGAAACTGCTGTCTTTCAGGAATCTGGCTTGAAGTTTCTTATTCTAATATATTTTTCTTCTGCTTTGGTTTTCTTTATCCTTAGTTTTGACATAATGTAGAAAGCATGTGAAATAAATAATAAATCCACATACTTCATATGTTTTGTAAATTTGGATGTACATCATGGATAAGCCAAAACCCATTTCTTTTCTCACCTCTCAAACCATGCTTACTAAGATTAAAAAGACCAAGTGAAGACCATGGTGCACTCAGGTTGTTTGTGTTGAGAAAAATCAAGGTCAATATTCTGGAAACCACAAACCACTCCTGTTGGGGGGGGGCCTGTTGTGGGCCCTCTATTCATAAATAGTCACTCTCGATTGTTAAGTTGCTAATGAAAACTTATCCACAACATCATGGAGCAAATGCGGAGTTGTTTGCATATGAAAGTGAGTGGTTCCACCCGCAACTCGTCCCCGTAGAGTTCTGAGATGGTTCCTTACCTGTAGGTATTTGTGTAGATACCAGGCAGCCGTTTTCCCGTCGTTGACTGACTCCACGGTGGTGTTGGCCAGTCCAGCCAGGTCGCCGCCGCAGAAGACCCATGGTTCACTGCTCTGCATGGTGTCTGGATTTACCTCGGGCAGACCCCAGGAGTTGAAGTTGATGGGAGCCATGGCCGCCCTGACTGCAACACAACAAAGGTACAGTGTCAATACTGAGCACCCTGGATGTTTTCAAGGAAAGTCCTTCCCAAAGTCTCTAAATGCAACCACTACGCAAGGATCCCGAGGCACATTAACAAATATGCAAAAACCAAGTGGGCAGGTTGTACGTTCCTCAATCCTGCAAAATCCATCAAATCCTGGTAGAATTTGAGGGATCTGGCAGGGGTTATACATCCGTTGGCTGCAACTCGCGCAGTGTTTGTGGTCAATGACATCCTGTACAACAATTTTCATTAAATTGGCTATTAACAACCGGCAGTGCAACCATGCCCCAGGGCCTGGTTCTAAATGATCAACTATTAAGTAAATGGTCCACATCATCCACCATTTGGGTGGCACTGGTTGACTTTATTTTGGGGGGAAGGGTAGGTGGAGGTAGGGAAAGTTGACGGGATGAGTAGTTAGCTGATCTCCTTGATCCAACCAGCAACCTACCTTGCTCATCATGGAGTGCTGAGCCAAACGCTGAGATGATGAAGTCTGCCTTGAGACGGACCATCTGCTCCTCGTCCTCTATCCACTTGCCATCTGCATCCTGCTCGGTACGGCACAGCTCTAGGCCCGAGATGCGATCCCCCTTCATGATGACCTTCTTCGGGGACAAGAACGGCATGAACTCACACCGCTCCTCTCTGGCTAGCTCCATCTTACCAAAAAACAAAAGTAAAAATGGAACAAACCCACTGCCAATAAGCGCCCGGTACAACCATTTCTAATAGTTCCAGGCTAGCCTTCCTTTTTTCTGCCTTGCTGAACAAAAACGACTGATGTGGCAATTATGAAAAGTTTCGATTCTTCAGCTATGAAAATCAGAATTTATTTCAAGCTCGAGGAATATCTACAGAATAACCAGTATACAGGTCTAGAAAAAAATGAACCAGTGCAAAAGAAATCACGAACAGCTAATCAAGTACTTTAGTTCCAAACTTGCCACAAAAGTTTGAAGCACCATTCCTTTGTAAAACATTTTTACTGTTATCATGACTTCAAATTTTAAACTGGTGGGAGATTGAGTGATTTGACTGTGTGGAAAAGGATGGCAAGATCTGGCAATATTTGGAAATTCTAAAAGGTCTTGGAAAACATTCTGTAGTCATATATTCATGAGTCACACTTCACAATCTTTAATCAACAGCTGGCCTATTCAGATGAAACAGTCACATGGCAATTCCTGTGATTTGACTGGTGATTCGACCCGACACAGACTTTTAAGTGGCTCAAGTGCATGTGCAACTTGGGGAAATTATATTCATAGAATTAGGCCAAGCTAATTTTCAATGCAACTATGTTTGTTCTTTAGGAAGGGGATGGACAGATTCTGTTTTTTTTGGGGGGGGGAGGGGGCAGGGTCGGGAGATCATCTACTGACCTCTTCAGGGACCGCTCTGATGGTGGTGAAACCTTTACGGAAGACAATATACACCCGCTTGGCACCGCATCGCAGGGCTGACGTGGCACAGTCAAAGGCCGTATCTCCAGCACCAAGAACGATGACGTTACCATGCAGCTGGGGTAGCTGAGACTTACATGCACACATACCTGGCAAATGGAGGCAAAAGCTGTCATGCTCTCAACCTTTTCTGCCCTGACCAGCGATCAAACACTGCACATGTCGATTTCCGGGAGGTGGGGCACTTTCTTCCAGAGATCCGTGTCCATTTTTCAACTTCACATTTGTTGGAATTCAGCAGGGCTCAATCATTGAGTTGGGTAACAGACTAAACTACTTGTACATGCAACAATCAACATCACCAGACACTGCTGCTGAGGTGCATGTACTCGTACCGAAGTTTAACATGCATCCCATGCACTCTGACCTTTGAGGTTTCCATCTTGTGGTGACCTTGCTGGTCAAGGTAACGCTATGATAAAAGAGGGAATATTTGACCAGATGAGGGAAACTGCCACAGCCCAATGTAAATTTATGAGAGAGTGAGATCTTCACTGGAATCACTCGTGCTACGATGATGTACACTGTACCAACTATGTCTGTGACATAGCATTCTGCGTTTGTTTGAATATACCCTCGTTTACATGGAAACAGACAGTAAGAGGGAGTATTTAGCCAGAACAAGGGAAACCAGCACTGCCCGGTGCAAATGAGTGTAGGTGAAATCTCAACTGCAACTACTTATGACCATGCACTTACTTTGTTTGCAGCATATGATCAACCCCAGCCAGATTCAAGGTTTGCATGTAACAGCAAATGGTCGAATCCCCCCTCACTCCCCAGTCACATATACATGTAACCTCACTTTTTAAAATAATTCCCAACCTGTTCACCGGAGACCAGCTCACCAATGGCTTCTTAGTGTGACTCTCTATTATTAGCCATGCTTACATGTAATCCTCAACCCCAAAAGATTGCATACCTCAA